GATTTGATATTTACTCAAGTTATTATTATTTTGATTTTTGCTATTAGTTTAAATTTTAGTTTATTAGTTTTAGTTAATCAATTAATTTTGAGTGTTTGGATAAGATTAATTTATTCTAATTTTAGTACTTAGTAAAATTTTAGATCAATTCTCTATGGGATCGACACTCTGCTTGCTAATATATTATTTATTCAATATGTATACTTACGTAGTGGAATTTTAACTGACAATACCCACATTGCATGCTTGTCTTCTGATTTTTACCTTGAATTCTGCATGCAACTGACTAACTCCTCACATCCTCAATCACCATTGCTGCCACAAGCACAAATAATCAATACACATTTTTATTTTTCCTTTCCACTTATGATCTCAAGTTTAAAAACACTTACCCATCATTTGTCTTTCTTTAAATCACCATACTTCTAAGATTAATCCACATGCATGCACCCGATTCTTTGAATCCTTGAAGATCCTTGCTACTATAAGCATAATCTCACATCACAACTGGTTCACAAGGCATGCATTCAAGCAAAATGACAGCTTTTACCTTACTTACCGTTGAATCACTAAGCTGAACCACCAATTTCTCCTTCAAGCTTCAACAATGGCATATGGAAGAAAATGTTTTGGTTTTTCTCCAACTTCTCCAAGGCCGAACCTTCTTATAGCTTTTCTTTTTTCTTCTTTCTCCTTTCAAACTTGATTCTCTTTCTTTTTCTGCTTCAAGGCATAGTTTTCCCAAGCCTTTCCTCACTTTTTTTTCTTCTTTTATTCCTTATCTCTCAATGGGCCAATTTGTCACCCACTACATTTTTGCGCACCAATTTTCTCCCTTGTTCATTGGCTCAATATCTATCTTCATTTTTTATGTCTTGCACCGCCTTATTCATCCAATCATATGTCATGCACAACCTTTACTTTATATTTTATTTGATCATTCATTAAACTATCAAGTCACATGCATCCCACATTTTTTCTTTCCTTATTTGGCCACCTAATGCACCAATCTTATTACATGCAATGGGATTTATTCTTATTCTTCTTTTTACTTGTCATGGTGGGAGTCCCACATGGTCCCCACTCTCTCTTTTTCGCATACAATAATTTGCATGTAATAGTGAATCCACATGCACTTTTCATTATCCCACATATCTTCATTATCTCAATTCATTCTCCAAGTCTCTATTCCTTCCAAACTCACATATACTATTATTAATACTTACATCACTAAAATTTCCCTCATTAAAATAATATTATAGAATCAATAAAATAATATTTTATT